GGTTGGTCTTACTTGTGCCTGGGGTACAAGCGGGGTGTGTGTCTTCGGGCACCCAACTGGGGGCATTGATTCACGAATCGCCGGCGTTCCGGTACGGCTTGTCTGCGGTTTAGCATCATAGTAAGAACTGAAAGTTGAAAGAAGAAGAAATGGAACTGATTGCTCAACTCTTGCTTGAAAGTAGAACATGTGCTTATATAGACTGGCTAGATAATAACTTAATACGGCTGATAATAATATATAAATAAGGACTCACGATTAGTATTGCTTTCTGCCAAAAGAAAACCAGCAAGCCATAAAGCTTATCATGTTCCTTGGAGTCGGAAAATTTATTCCCACTAGTCGGATAAGTCTTGCAAGTACATTGTGTACTCAGAGTTTATTTACCCCTGTTGCAGGTAATGCATGAGAAGTACCCTTGTGTAGGGGATTCTTCTGGTGGGCTCAGACGGATTCCTCGTTTTCTATCGCTAGATGTTTATTTCTAAATTCCGTTGTTTATTAATCCACACTCTGACACTTGGTAATGTAATAATATGATTTTTAAGAACTTCGGATGTATGAAATGGACATGTATTGTAACTCGTTCTCATTATTGGATCATTGGGAAAAATATGGATCTTTCGGGTTCTCCCTTGGGGTATGCCCGACGGATATCGCTGTTGTAGCTAGCTTTCAGGGTGCTTATTGTCTGGTGGAAGATGAGCGCCTCCGTAAGTGTGCTATTTCAAGTGGTTCTACCACACGCGTGGTCCCAGGCCATCTGGGCTAGGACTCTGGCCGTTTGGTCGGCCACCATGCCTGGGGTGCGTGTCCCCGCACTCCTCGATGGTCAGGCCAAGGCCTGTATCGCCTGCTCTCGCCACCACTAGATAGGCGTCATCATCGTGCAGGGCATGGCATCGATTGTTGATGACGCTACGAGCATCACGGTTCGGCCCGAGGCATTCACGCATAGGTGGTCGGTGTGGAGCGGGCGCTGGGTCAGGCTGTGGTGTAGTCGCGGCCTCCTGCTCCACCCCTGGCAATAGCAATGGTGAGTGGATGGAGCGACTCGATTGGTGCGGCCCTAGTCCTCCGGTTGGGCAAGAGGCCGCGAGCCGGTGTCGCGACGCGGAGCTCTCCGCCCGTTGAATGATGTTGGTCTCCACCAGCGCCCAGAGGTTCCGGTGGATTGCTTGCTCCTGAGGGTCGGTCGGTTTGGGGAGGCCACACAGCAGCATCGCCGCAGCAGCGATGTTCTTGCCAGCTTGAGTGAACTGAGGGGGGTTGTTCCCCCCATCTAGGATGTTGCACCGCACTAGCGTAGGTGGCGGCTGGCTCTGCCGTCTTTATCATAACTCCTCGTCGTGCTGCTGCGCACGCACGAGGCCTCCGCATGAGGGTCTGGAGGGGTGTGACTCTGTAGAGACTCCGCTACCACTGGTGGCTGTCCCGGAGCTTCCGCCATAGCGCACTCCAGGGACAAAGGGTCGCCAGGTGCCACAACATCGCCGATGCTGGAGCCATCGCTTTCGACTCCGTCACCCACGAGGTCGTGAAAAGAGGCGGGAGTGTAGCCCGCCATCCCCACGAATTCGGATGTGAGATGGGGCGGCGTTAGCATCATTTGAAGCCCCCACGCGTACGCATCCGCAGGGGACGCGAAGCCATAGGGAAAACGGTCGCATGACGATCGTGGTGGGGACAATAGGGTCCCTTCGAAGAGTCGGTGAAAGGTATTAAACAATGAGTAAAGAACAACATGTACGTTACTCACCGTGGAGTTTGAGCCCAGTATGGGCTCAAGGCGAAGCACAAGTGTCTCGACGTTGGAGTCATCGAGTGACCCGGGGCCAGCGGAGGGCGCTCCTCCTCCCGTGGGCACCGGGACAAGTGCCTCCTCATGGAGGCGGAGTACGCTGAGCTGGTCGGCGACGAAGTCCAGACTTTCGAAGAGGAAGATCTGGTGCGGCTCGAAGACGGGAGGAACCCACATCCCAACAGGTGGGAACATGGGAAGCTCCAGCGAGCCGAAGCGAAACGTCTCGTTTGAGCCTGCCGTGCCGAAGATGGTGGAAAGATGGACCATCCGATGACCAAAAGCGTGAACGCACGGCGTCCTCCCCACGGACGGCGTCAACTGTTGATACGAAAAGTGACCAACAAGTAAATATTTGTAGTTTTGCCGTGCGTTGTGATCGGATGTGGCCTAGCACTCAATGACACAGGATTTATACTGGTTCAGGCAACGTGCCCTACGTCCAGTTTCAGTTGGTCGGTGACTTTATTCCTGAGCCAAGGTGATCGAAGTTTGCTGTGGGGTTACAAACGAGTAGAAATAAGAAGGGGGTGTTAGAGACCCGGTCGGACTCTAGACCAAGTGGCTAAGAGTGACAGGTCCCTAACGTGCGCTAAGTATTGGAGCGCATGCTCTGTGTAGCTGTTGAGTTCTAGAGCTGTGGAGCTGTTCAAATGCTCAGGTTCTCCAGAGCCAGATCGAGAGCCTCCTGTTGGAAGAGAGCGTATCCCCTTTTATAGGTAAAGATGATGACCTTACAAGTTAGAGAGAAAGAGAGATAGTGCGTACGTGTACTTTCTAGTCTTGTTGCTCATGCTGTCGGGTACGAAACGTTTGTCGGCTCCCACAATACTGTTTATGCCCAGACGCGTCTGGCAGGCTTTACCATGTTCGCCTGGCATGCCCCAATGGCACCGTCCTGCAGGTGCGCAGGGCGTGGCAGGGTACGGCAAACGACGGCGCACACAATCCCTTTTTGGGTTCTGACACGCTTGGAAGGTTGCATAGTGCCTATCTGGTATGGCCTGGTGGCACCGTCCTGCAGGTGCACAGGGTATGACAGTGTACGGTCCTCGATGTTGTGGTTTGACTTGAGCGCCTTACCTTATCTGCTCTCGCCGATCTCCAGGCCCTCACCGAGCGGGCGTCCCCGGTCAGTTGTTTTCCGGTCGGCCCCGACCATGTCGGTCAGGGAAGAGCTGCAAGCGGAGGTTCGGCGTATCTCCGGTCGGAAAAGGAGGTCGGAGTTGGACAATGTCCCTTCCTTAGCCAGGCCTTCCGGGCGGGGATCCGGGTCGTTCTCCCAGCCTATCGTTAGGTAACTGGACCGGTCCGGGAGGCACGTGTTGTCGCTACGCCGTCTGCTTGGCCGAGCTTTTGCTGACAAGCGGATCCATTGTGGACCCCGGGTTTATGAACCCGACATATCCTATTTTAACAAATAATAAATTAAATAAATTTATATTTTGAGGTAATAAGTGATTATAGTTATCTGATCTAATTAAATGGACAACTCAAAGTTATTTGGGAGTATTACAGCAAAGCCCCGATTATTAATCATAATTCATAATCAATTGTACATTGTCAGGAAGATCATCTTGGCATATGAGAAGATAACATTTCAGCCTCCATGCTGCATTGTGTGCTTACTTCTGATGACTGCAAACTGGGAATTGGTCTGGGCTCACGTAGATGTTTCTCTTCCTGTTCAGTATTTTCCCCTGCCCATTCATCTTTTCTTGTGGCAGTCTGGTCTATGGTGAATGACCTTGTTAGCCCATGTAAAACTGAAGCCACCACCACCATGGCAGGCCGTTCTTCTCCCTTCACGTTTAAGCACCGTACTGAAAGCTCTGCAACGGCATAACATTGGTCTTCGCCTGCTTCGACCAAAATGTGCGGCTCTATCTCCTGAAGTAAGCGCCGTTCATTAAATAGAACCACCAGATGCATAGCCAAGTTACATGATTCTTCCGGCCTTGCTGCAGAAATAGGTTTCTGCCTGGTCAATAGTTCTGCAAGAACAACTCCGAAACTGTAAACGTCACTCTTCTCAGTTAGCTGACTGGTTTGGAAATATTCGGGATCAAGGTACCCAATAGTCCCCTGAATAAGAGTAGTTATATGAGTTTGATGAAATGGGACTGATCTTGATGCACCAAAGTCTGCTATTTTAGCCACGAAGTTCTCATCCAGCAGAATGTTGCTTGATTTGATGTCTCTGTGTATGATTGGTGCGTGAAGATGTGGAGTGCAGATAGGCAAGTGCATCTGCAGTTTCTGCAGCTATCCTTAAGCAGTCTTCCCATGTTAGAGGGCGAGGTGCATTTCTGTTGTGGATGTGCTGGAAGAGTGTTCCATTAGGTATGAACTCATAAACCAACAATGGTACCTGTGTCTCTAGACAGCATCCCAAAAGCTTGACAACATTTGGGTGGTCAATCTGTGACAAGATGGCAATCTCATTGACAAATTGCTCCACTTGGCTCTCATCGAACACCTTGGACTTCTTTATGGCGACTATAGTTTGGTCTGCAAGAATGCCCTTGTACACTGTGCCATGTCCACCTCGGCCAAGGATTCGACTCTCGCTGTAGTTGTCAGTAGCAGCCTTGAGCTCTTCTGCACTAAATATCTTTGCTGATTGGTCCTCTCCTTGAGACGTGATTGTTGAAAATCTCTGCTGCAGTAGTAAGCCACCATTCTTCCTGAACAATTCTGCTCTGTTTCTTCCTAGCTCTCTTTTCTTTATCGCCCAGCAGTAGAACGACACAGCGGTGGTCACTGTAACCATAAGTGCAAGACCTACACCTGCAGATGTTGGAGAACACTTGTAACGTAAGTCTACTGTCCAATTGGCTCTCATGTGGGAGTAACACTACTGAGACCAATACAAATAGGACTGAATGACTGATGACTGTTGAATTGATTATTTTGCTGCAGATTGTGCATGATACAAGATTGACTGGCCCCATGTAGCAACATTGAGGTAATCTTTAGGACTAATGTAAACTATAATTTCTCTCTTTATCATTACCAAAGGCATGTTTAATCTTTTTTAAAATGACGTGTTTAATCTACTTTACTTCCTTTTTTATTCATAAACCATAATGCTAGCTTATATAAGATGGGGCCTTACTTATGGAGTCTGTTGATTAATATGCATTGGCGTAATGTGGTAAGCATATGATATATATTATAAATGTATTGAGGAAGTTACCCAAAACTGTGTCTAGAGGAAAGTGCTTTTGAGAGCCAAAATAGCAGCCACTACCCTTTTTCTGGCCATCACCACTCATCCCTTCAGGGCAGTCGCAAAAAACAACTCCTTCCGAATCAAAGCAGTGCTTAATGTATGTGCAAGGGTTCTTTTCTGTGTGATTACACACGCCGGTACCTGATAAATAGCCAAGGATCATCAACGACATCTCTTTGAAGAGATTTCTTTTCACAATAGAAAAAATCATGGCACTAAAGAACCAGTAAAGGGTGATAAAGTCATGATGAACTAATGGACTCGTACACTCGTTGCAATGAACAAGTTATACGGTACCTTGCGGTTGGTGCGTAGGGGAATATGCAGCACAAAAGAACGTTAATTGTTAGTCAGTAGGTATTAAATGTCTAAATGTATTCAAGAAATATATATAGGCATATTACTCAGGATTCAAGCAAGTATTTCTTACATGAGAGACAATTGTTGAATGCAAGTGACTGGGAGTAACCAAAAGACAAAATGATTCGGTCAGTTGTAGAATGATTTAGAAGCTAACCTTGTTTCTTTAAATATCCCATAAATCTTTTTGGCATGTTGCATTCAGAAATTATGTTATAGTGTACTGGGTCTAAGGGTTTATGTTTCATTTTTTTCTTTGAAAAAATATAAAACAATAGGGATTAAAGATTTCTACATATGCTAAATTGCATTAAATTGCATTCAGAAAGTATGTTACAATGTACAATTGGCTACAATAAGCATAGGTAGTTAAAATCACTATTCCTCTGTCCACAGATATAAGAACTTCTAGAGTCTTTAAGGCGTTAAAAATAGATAGAATAGGCGCATGTACGGATGTGCCATCAGAAGTGGGCTACGGTTTTTTGCGTTAGTTGAATAGTTATGGCCCTATTGTTCAGTAACCCCTAGTTTTAAATGGCAAGTCACAACCTAAAAGAAAATATATTGAATAGTTGTTGAATTAAATTAATGCTTGGAGATTCGGTACCAAAATCCTTATATTTATGGATAACTCTAAAACCAAAATCCCTATGATACAATGGAGAAGGTTATGTTGAAATATTGCGTTCAGATAACAAAATTCTAAAATTACTATTCTACTATTACTAATTGAAGGCCTCTAACAGAGTCTCTGTATTAATTCTCATGAGACGTGCTATAAAAAACAATATTCTAAAATTACTATTATATTATTACTAATTGAAGGCCTTCAACATAACCTTTTACGGGACGTGCTAGAAAAAACAAGCCCTAAAAATTCTCACGAAAATAAGAAAGATCTAACCATTGATCCAGTAGAATTTAATTACTACCAATAATAGTAGGCACAATCCATTCAATTTTCTTAAAAAAAAACTTGACATAGCAACTTCTAATGTGGAAAATGTCTAAATAACCATAAAATATAATTATATATGTTTATAAATCACATACTTTTGTAGCTATTAATACATAAAAACAATTTAAGGTAATCATAAATGATGTGCATACAATTTAACTTAAACATTATAATATATGTTTCTAAATTGTAAGCACTATATTTTTATAGAAAATACTGTTGCACATATGATTCTTTGGCATAGAAATTAATATCATGAACTGTAGAGGAAGTTAGTGCAGACAAAAAGTGTCTATGACCTTCCTTACTTTTTTATATGCTTTTTGAGTAAACAATAGTTATTAGATATAAATATTAATATTCTCTTGAGGTTAGTAGCATTGGCCCCTCCTACATTTTCTTTTGAAGTTATATTGACGATTTTGAGTGCCTCGATGCAAGCTTAAAGGACCATATTTTTTGTTATCATGGTAACTAAGAGCGCAATCTAAGGTCTAAAATTATTATTTCTAATAAAATAATGAAGTAGAGTTTTCATAAAAGGTACCATAAGCAAAAGACTTATACATTATTGATTAATTTTTTATGATAAAAGTTGTACTAACTAATGAGATTAAAATTTGAAAATCAATGACGGCATAACTCATTAGACTTGAGTTTGTTAGAGTGCGTAGCGGATCCGGCCCAGCTCACTATACCCACGAGCCAGCGCCCTCAGACCTAGGTCCACCAGTGCCCACAACATACTAAAACCTTAGGCCTAACTCAGCCCAAAAGCCTGATAGGTGAGGGCTGCCCCCGCCTTATACGTTGTGCTCCCTGACCATCAATTATTGATGTGGGACTAAACCTAACAATCTCCCCCGTCACACATCGGATTCAACGCTTCACATCGCACAACCCCGTGTGATCTCCGGAAGACCTCTAAAAGACGTTCTCCAGGCCCCGAGTCTAACGCTTCATATCACACATAACCCCTGTGACCTCTATATCACACACAACCCCTTGACCTCCGAGAGGTTAATAGGCTCCCCTATCACCATGTGACTCCAGAGATTTTCAGGTTTTCTGACCATGAGTTCTGATACCACTTATTAGAGTGCGCAGCGGATGTGGCCCAGCTTGCTATACCCACGAGCCGGCGCCCCTTAGACCCAGGTCCACCAGAGCCCACAACATACCAAGACCTAGGGGCCTAACTCAACCCAAAAGACTAGCATAATAGGTAAGGGCTGCCTCCGCCTTATATGTTTCGCTTCTCCACCATCAATTATAGATGTTGGACAGAACCTAATAGAGTTGTGCTGCGGTAAGAGCTATTGTAAGCTAAAATTTTAACTAAATGTATATTGAAATACATGGAGGTGTCAGGTAGAAAAAGAGAACATATAGATATGGATGAAAAAAAAATACAAAGTACTTGATAAGTTTATCACTGTCAGATAGAGGCCCTTTATATATAGAGAGATTGTATTAGAAAAATAAACAAAAAAGAGAGCAATGTTTTAAACACAAACTTGTAATGTTTATATCTCCTAATATTCTAACTTGTGCAAAAGCACGGGTTGAGAGATTATAGTACGCTAAATTGACAAAAGTTCCAAACGTAGGGCATTATTACCAGGTGTCACAAGAGCGGTGTTGCAGCCTGTTCCTGTCCTGTAACCGTCACCAATATTGTTCTCGGGGCAAGAACAGGTATAGCCTCCCAAAGTATTGTTGCAGAGGTTCTGATAGGTGCAGTTGTTACTATTGGAGTTCCGGCATTCGTTGATGTCTTGACAAACAGAACAAAACAACACACTTCGTGTTCAGAAAGCAAGGTGAAACTATTTGTATCCATAACAGACTATAAAATTGTATGTTACAAATGAAAACTCTTCCATGAACCAGCATGAAAGAATAATACCAGACACCATTCAGGGCTCAAACTAATTGGTTGGTGTGGGAGGCGTGAACAAGCATCCCAATGATATGTTTTGAATTCTCTTCAACTTTAATTGAGGTGATTTCTTCCTTCTTAATAAAACCGTTTAGCTCCTCATAAGTAGATTATTATCGTCTTATCTCAAAATCTGCCGGTCCAATTTCAATCTTTTAGAGGTACTTATATGGATAGGCTGTGTATACGTGCATTTATAGGGTTGAGTAAATGTGTATGTATGAATGTCTATGTCTCTACCATGTTTAAAAAAAAACTATGTGTGCTTCCATATGAAATTGTAGTCGAACTGTTAGGAACTTACTCTTTCCGTCCTGAAATATAATGCATTATAGCCATTTTCGGACAAAATATGGAGAGTGCAATAGATGCATATATCCCACACTTAACTTCCTAGTCAATACAAATCTGATTCTATTCCCCATAATTAAAGGATGGACTCTCAGTTTTCTCATAAAAAATATGGCAAGTACTGAGTCATGTATTTCAATTTATTAGTGAAATATTATCTTTTTGTTCCCTGAGAAACTCTTTTCTGTTTTTCCTACTTTTGAGAAACATAAGAAACTTCTTGCGACCGTTTTGGACGGATGAAGAAGAAACCTTAATTTACCTTGGCATCCGTCACTGACGTACGGATTTCCGTCGTACCCGTCAGGGCATTTGCAGAGATAGCCCGCTCCGCTGGGCGCGTCGACGCAGGTGCCGTACCCGTACTTGCACAGTGGCTCGAATGTGTAGCTCTGAGCTTGGTCGCAGGTGGTGCTCCCAAACGCCCAATCCAAAATCATCCTGCGCTCACGTTGCGGCGACAAGGCCTTTTTTAGCGGCCGTACCTCGTCGCCACTGAAATTGAAGACTGCCTCGTCTTTGTCCAGGAAGAACGCCGCGCTGCAGGTTCCGTCCTCCTCGCCGTCGTCGGTGCCGTTCGCCGTGGTCCTTTCGAACAATAGGCTGAACATCTTGGCGCCGTTCATCTGGTCCATGGAGGCCTCGCAGCAGGCTTCCCCCTGGCAAGAGCCGCTGATGTTGGAGGTGGTGCACGTGGTGGTGCAGCTGGTGTATAGCGGGCTGGGATCACCGGGCAGGTTGAGGAAGTTAGCCATGAGCGTGCGGTTGCAGCCGAAGTTGACCAGCTTGTTTCTCTGGGAGAAAGTGAACGGCGTCCCTTCCAAGCTCCAAGTTAACGCCGTCCCGTCCAAACTCTTTGCCCCGGGCGTCGGCTTGCCCTTGCCGTCGTAACACACCTGTGTGATGGGCTCCGCGAAGATGACCACGTAGCTGTCCGGCACCGACACGGAATCGATTCTGTACTCTTGCTCGCCGATGGACAGCATGGCCTCCCTGTTTGGCCCGCATATCACCCAGAAGCCGCCAGGCAGAGACGACGCGCCTCTAGGCCTTATGCCGAAGGGCTCCGGGACGTTGTCGCATGTCGTCGGCCTCCGACCAGGTGGCGGGAGTGGTGGCAGCGCCAGATCCTGCGAGTGCGCGGCGCGAGGCAGGGTAGAGACGAGAGCGAGCGCCAGGGCGAGTGGTCGTGCAACCGCATCAGCGGCTGATCGGCGGTTTCTTCCACGCGGCATGCCGGCGAGCGAGAGGGCAAGCAGGGAACTGCTAGGGGATCATTGACAGTCTGGACTCTGGACGTGTATTGTCGTGTAATTTTCGTGGAATTGATTTCTTTCACTCTTTGGCTGGTGTACGATGCTCATGATTTAGCACTTAGCAGCACCAGGAGGTAATGGGCGGTATTTCATCAATTAATTCCAAATTCCAACCAAGGTTTGTGGAAGACTTGGCACCATACGAGTCATCGCACCACGACGTTCGAATCCTATTCTTTTTCCATGGAAAAAGCCCGCATGAGGCAAGAGGCACGATGATACTAGGCAACAACAGGCCATAAGTTCCAATGGGACTAGCTTGCGGATGACAATCATTGGTACTGGTGTTTGACAACCGCCCTACCGAAGGACTATATACCTTTTTAGATAATGAAGCTTTCCTGCCTTCATATTTCTTCTACTTTGCTCGTTTTAAATTATAAGTCATTCTAACTTCCTAAATACATAGCTTATATTGCATACTCTCTATCTCTGAATAAATCATCGAATCCTAGTCAAACTTTTGAAGATCGACCAAATTTATATAAAAGAACGGCAAAATTTATGACACCAAATTAGTATGACGAGACACACCATAAAATATATTTTTTTTATAGTGTGCTTATTTAATGTCATAGATATTCTATAAATTCGGTCAAACATAAAAATGACCTAAGACAACTTTAGGAATTGATTTATTCAAAGATAGAGAGAGTACATAGATGCTTCCTCCGTCTCAAATTAAACTCAAATTTTAGAGTTGTTATAAGTTAAATTATTTTAAGATTGACCGACTTTATATAGGAAAGAGCACCAATATATATGCCACCAAATTAGTATTATTAGATACATTATGAAATATATTTCCATAATATATTTATTTATTGTCATAGATGTTGTTACTCTTTCATATAAAGTTAGTCAAATTTAAGATAGTTTGACTTTAGATGATTCTAGAAATTGATTTATTTTAAAACGGAGGTAGTATAAACTTCGTCTTGCTTTAAATGTTGTTCTCACATACCAAGGAGTCAAATCTACTCAACTTTAATCAAATATATACAAGATATTACTAATATTTATGGTGCATAACATGTATCATTAGATTAATTATCAAATATATTTTTATAATACTTTTATTTAGAGACACAAATGTTGCTAATATTTTTATAAATATAATCAAATTTAAGAAAGTATGACTAGCACGAAAATCTAAATGACACTTAAAAAAGGACGAAGGAAGTACATATCAAAAATTGTAAACCTAAAAATCAAAATGACTTACAATTTAGAACATGAGAGTAATAAAGATGCATCAGGACACAATTATTACGAAAGAATAACACGTCTCGACAAGCAAATATGTAGCTAAGACATTAAAAACTCTAATGTACCAAAGAAAAACAACAGACTAAAGAAAAGGAAAAAAAATCAAAATCTTTAAATTGCAACTTGAGTGATTCTCCTTTCAAACATTGTTCCGTAATATCAACATGAGCCAATTCCAACGGGGAAGAGTACAAGAGTAATTTTATATGAAATTTGACTGGAGATTGACTCAGTTTAAAAAGTTGATTATTATATGTATTTGTTGTAATGTTAAGAAGGTGAAAATTGAACGGAGATCGACTTAGCTTAAAATTAACCTCGTAGGGGGTGTTTGGATCAAGAACTAAAATTTAGTCATTGTCACATCGAATATTTAGATGTTAATTAAAAGAACTAAACATAAGGTAACTTGGATGTCAATTAGAAGTATTAAACATAAAGTAATTATAAAACTAATTACATAAGCCGTGACTAATTCGCGAGATGAATTTATTAAGCCTAATTAATCTATGATTAGCATATATTTACTGTAGCATCGCTATCGACGAAACCTGGTCGGCAGTCTACCGAGAGGTATGCCCATGGTAGTAGATGAATCGGTGGAGGTGCGCGTGAGGAAACCGTATGGTGACACAGAACGCAAGAGAGAGCGATTAGATAGGTTCGGGCCATCAACTTGACGTAATACCCTACGTCCTGTATCTTTGTCGATTATATTGCGTGTGATCAGACAAAAACGAGGGGGTCCCTACCCGCCTTGTATAGCCTAAGGGGTAGGGTTACAGATCGGTTGTTTCTATCCTGATCGGTTTACAAGATAGGAAGCTACAGATATCACGGTAATCTAGCATATCCGAGCAGATTTTCTAGATCGCCGAGGATCTTTACGCAGTCTTGCAAGGCATGTAGACTTACGCCGTACTTCACGCGTCGTAATCTTGCACGCTGGGCCTCGACTGGTGGCACGGCCCCTGCGTGGTCTCATGGGCTGGGCCTCCTCTAGCGGCTCGGCCCATGTGCGGCCCTATGGGTATCAGGGGTTATACCCCCACAGCTAGTCTTCGAGCACCTTGTATTCGCCGAGCAACGCCGTCTTGAGTTTGTCCGAGTAGTCCAGCTAGTCGTCGGCCGTCAAAAGCAGGCGTCCGTCTTGATTGACTGGTAGCCGAGCTGTTGAAAACGTCATTCGAGCTGTTGGACATGGCGTCCGAGCTGTAGAAACAGATGTCCAAGTGTTTCAATCTGGGAGCCAAGCTCGGGCTCACTTGAAGCTTCAAGGTTTACTGGCAGGATGTAAGGAGCTCAAGTAATTTTTTTTTGAAGTCTTAGACGATGAAGTGTACACACTTAAGTGCCTATTGCGATGGCTCTGACGACATGGTCATCAGGGCAGAGCAGAGGCATCAGATGGCAAGCTTGATGAAGTTGAAACACCGTGGAAAAAAGCAGTACATGCACCGCAAGGTGCATTGTACACAATGTAGTCCTCGAGCCTGCTAGAAGATGATAAAGGAATATTGTAGCAGGGTCAAAGAAAAATATCCAGACCAGGCAATCAGTACATTCACCGCTAGGTGAAATGTACACACTTAGTCCTTGAGCCTGGCACTAGATGAAGTAGTCTCGTGGTGCCAGGATCCAAAGAGGTAGTCTACGGGTGCTAAAACCGTTTATGTCTTAGCTGAGAAAAACGGTACAATCATCTCAAGATGACGTGTACACACGTAGTCCCTGAGCCTGCTGGAAGATGATGAAGGTATCTTGTTGCAGGGTCAGAAAGTATCTTGACTCCGTTGAAATGATGCTTAGCATTGAACCCCGTTTCATCACTCCGCGTTCAACGCAGTTTGACGTGGTGGCCTATAAGGCCCATTCGACGGGCCCAACGTCATGCGGAGGTTTTGGGGGAGAATGTGGCGGGAGAGGCGCGGTTTCCCAAAAAACCCTAGAAGGCGAAGGGTCAAGGGTCGAACCGTTATAAGAGCACCACAACCCCGGAGCACATTCCCCACCTTTCCTTCGCCACTTCGTCTTCTTCCTCACGCCCACATCGCATCACTCAGTAACTGCTCCGCCATCAAAGTAGCAGCAAGCTCGTAGTCTCCTCCAGGCCACAGATCTGTTAGATGGTGCCCAAAAGAAATCACAGCAGCTTGAGTAGGGCATCATGCGAGCTCAATCACGCTGAGGAATGGGTGAGCTCCGTCAGCAACGAGGCGGCGCTCAACCAGTTGGTGGTGGACGGCGTGCTGCCTAATAGGGTGACGGCGGGATGACGTCCGACTCATGGTGAGAGCTTTCCTACCCCCGCAGCAGCGATGAATTAGTGGTTTTTGAAGATTACTTTTATCGTGGATTTGGTGTTCTGATCCATCCATTCCTTCGTGGGTTGATTGACTATTATGGGATTAGTCTTTGTAATCTAGGCCCAAATTCCATCCTTTATGTCGCTGTCTTTATCTATTTCTATGAAGCCTATCTTGGCATTCTTTCATATTTTGATCTCTTCCGCCACTTCTTTTGTTTGAAAGCTCGGGGTGGATCTGGATCTAGGATAGTAGGTAGCGCATACTTGCAGCTTTGGGATGGGATGGTTGGCCAGTACATCGCTACCCCGTTGAACACAAACGTGAAGTATTAGACACAGCGATGGTTCTATATGCCACAGGGGGAACACTATGTGGCATGTGACATTGATCAGATTCCACGTGAGCAACGTCAAGTGGTCGGAGAGACTTGGTGCCAATGGAATGGAGCAAATGAGGGAGCTCTTGACATTGATCGACCGGAGAAGGGTGGATGGGGTCATAGTAGCGACGAATTTTACTTTTCGACGATGCTAGCCCAGCAAGGAGAGGGCACATCCTGCATATGAATTCCGCAGGGATACTGATGGGACCCAAGAGGTGCCCGAGCCAATTGATCGAGATGAGGCCATGCGGCAGGTTGGGGTGTTGTTTAACCTCATGGGTCACCGTAAGATTGATGACCAGCAGAGGGCCTTCAGTGTAGGGAACCTCCTGCCATGGGTAAGAGTCTTATTTCTAGTTTCATTTGATTCCTTTTTTGTTGTAGCATAGTCATTCGTGCTCTTGAACATTCGTAAGGCGGGACCAAAGGTGTACTTCTCGACAAAGGTTGCCTACCGACCGCTGGCGAGGGTGTTTATGCTTTCGGCGAAAGCATCCCTAGCATTGGGCCACTTCGAAGCTAGTGGGGACAGCTTGGATGACCACGACGGCAGAGATGGAGGTGAGCGGACATCACATGTTTGTGAGAAACTCTAGGGAAGCGGCCTATGGGCGAGGAGCCATCCTCAAAAAGAAGGAAAATGGGAGGGTCATCCCGTTGAGAAGAGTTGTGGTAGAACCGCCTAATCTAATGCCCTTCCAAGAGTACCTGTCTTCCATTAGACACTAAGTACTCAAGAGAGTGCACTAAATCATGCTGTTTCGTCGAGCACACCCCAAGGGAGAACTCAAAAATCCACATTTTTCATCAGGATCATAAATGAGAGAATAAAGCTTACAATATTCTTAACCATTTCTTACATCACTTTTTTTCAACGTTAGAGTACTTAAACAAGTTGAATGCAATAGCGGAATTAAGACAATTTTACATGTAAAAGAGTTTATATATTTTAGGTTTAC